GCACCAGGAGCGCGTGCAGCGGCTGCGCGAGGACTGTGAGGCGGGCGCCCGCGAGCTACGGCGCTGCAAGGACGAGAACTACAACCTGGCCCTGCGCCTGGCACGCCAGAGTGAGGAGAAAGGCGCCGTACTCATGCGGAACCGTGACCTGCAGTTGGAGGTGCCGTGCTCGTGGTCGGGCTTGGGGTCTGCCGTCGCGGGTGCGCCACACCTGACCGGGTGGTCTGCAGGTCGACCAGCTCAAGCACAGCCTCATGAAGGCGGAGGATGACTGCAAGGTGGAGCGCAAGCACACGCTCAAGCTGCGCCACGCCATGGAGCAGCGGCCCAGCCAGGAGCTGCTCTGGGAGCTGCAGCAGGAGAAGGCCCTGCTGCAGGCCCGGGTGCAGGAGCTGGAGGCCTCGGCGCAGGTGGGCGTCTCGGTGCAGCTGGGCTGCGGGCCGGGAGCATCTGCAGGCCCTGGGTGGGCAGAGTGGGTGGGGGAGAGCAGCGTGGCACAGCCCCCCAGCCAGGCCTTGCCCTCTGCCACCCTCAGAAGTGGGACAGGGGCAGCCCCTACATCCAGGTGCTGGAGGAGGACTGGCGGCAGGCTCTGCGGGAGCACCAGGAGCAGGCCAGCACCATCTTCTCCCTGCGCAAGGACCTTCGGCAGGCCGAGGCCCTGCGCACCCGGGTACGCGTGTGGCAAGGCAGACTCAGACCGGGGCCAAGTCAGGCTGGGGGGGCTGGGCTGTGCCATTTGGTGTCGAGGTCCCGGTTCAGTGTCTCCACTACACCCGTTCCTGCCCACTCCTCCCTACAAGTTCCAGGATGGTGAGGACCATGCCTGTGGGGGGATGGGGACCCAGGGGCTCCTGCAGCTACCCCCCTGGGTGTCCTGAACTCCTGCCCAAGGAGGCACCCGGGGCCAGAAGGGAGGCCGCGGACGGTGGGGCTGACCCGCCATGCCTGTAGTGCGTGGAGGAGAAGGAGGTGATGGAGCTGCAGTGCTCCGCCCTGCGGAAGGACTCCCGGATGTACAAGGACCGCATCGAGGCCATCCTGCAGCAGATGGAGGAGGTCGCCACCGAGCGGGACCAGGTAGGTGCCTGCAGCCGGGGCAGGTGTGAGACGGGCACCCCGGACGTAGGGGAGGGAGCCATCCCGCCTCGTGTGCTGCACTCGGGCAGCAGCCCCCGGGCAGTCGTCACTATTCAAAATGACCTAAGTAAGGTGTGCTCCTTAGAAGAGCAGAGACAACAATGGAGTCAAAGCTCCTCTTCTCCCGGCCAGCCCATGGCAGGGTGGCTAGGGTGGCTGGATCCCATATGGTTCGAGTCCTGGCCTAGGCAGCCTGAAAAACGTGCTGGGTGCATGAGCATGCATGTCCAAAATCCCAAGAGGAGAATGGAGAAAGAATTCTGGCGTGGCCATCCCCAGGGGGTGATTTCTCACTTTTTCTCTTTCTCTCTGGTGAGTGCATGTGCCCTATTGCAAACTTGAAAAAACAAACAAAACCCCTTCTCCAGTCCTTCCTCCTAGCGCTCAGGGCAAGCGTGGCCCCCTCTGGCCGTTCAGACTTGGGGGTAGAATTCAGTCTCATGTTCCACAGTGGTGGCGTTCATATCTGCCTTGTGTTGGAAGTAGCTATTTCAGCTTTTAAAAGCTGAGCACCTTGGGGCCAGTGGATGGTGTGGTGCTTAGCGTGCTGGACTCCCACATGGCTGACCATGGTTTGAGCCCTGGACCCAGCAGCTAGAGGATCATGCCAGGTGCATGTGTGTGCATGTCCCAAATCCCAAAATCCTGAGAAGAGAGTGGAGGAGAAGGGATTGTGGCATGGCCATCCCCCGGGAGATGATTCCACATTTAACAAACAAGCAAACAAACAAAACCGGGCACCTGGGCCATGCAGCCAGATCTCTCTTTTTTTTTTTTTTTTAAGAGATTCTGCTATAGGATTTCTGCGCTCGCTAGAGAGACAGAGACAGGGAGACAGAATATGAGAAATCACCCACTGGGGGATGGCTACACTGCAATCCCTTCATTCCTTCTCCATTCTCGTCTCGGGATTTTGGGTACGCATGTACACACATGCACCTGGCATGAGTTTCAAGCTGCTGGATCTGGGACTCAAATCACGGCTGGCCATAGGGGAGTCCAGCCCCCAGTCTGTCTTCCGGGATGTCATGCAGAGGAGCAAGGGAGGGAGAGGAGCGCCCTGACATGGTCTCCTCACGCCATGGCCCCCTCCCAGCCTTCTGGGCCCTGGAGTCGTGGCCTCTACCACTCGGGCCCTGCCCACTCCTACCCCTGGGGCACTCCACACTCCCCGTTTCCTGGGGGAGCGAAAGGGTGAGCTGGCCACAGGCAGAAGCTGAAGAGGGAAGGAAGGCACTGCTGGAGGCCGGGAGGGCGGGTGCTGGACTCCACTGAGGCTGCCCCGTGCCCTAGGCCATGGCGGTGCAGGAGCAGCTGCATGCCCAGCACGCACGGAGCCTGCAGGAGAAAGACGGGCTGCGCAAGCGGGTCCGCGAGCTGGCCGAGAAGGCGGATGAGCTGCAGCTGCTGCTGTTCCAGCGGGAGGGCCAGCTGCTGGCCGCGGAGGCCAGGCTCAAGCGGCAGCAGGTGGATGCGCTCGTCCTGGTAGGCCCCAGGCCCTGCACGCACAGAGCCAGCCCTGCGCTGGGGCACTGGTGGGGGGTGGGAGCCACAGCAGCGTGGGTGTGGTGTGCAGGGTGGGCACAGGCTGCCCCCAAGCCCCTGGGCCCCAGAGCAAGGGGCTGGAGCTTCCACAGCCCTGGGCCTGGCTGCCTCCGCCTGCACCTTGCTTTCCGCACCTTCCCTCCTGATGCACCCCTTCTAGCACACTCCTCCAGGAGGGTGGGGGCCGCAGACCCTCCTCCAGGCCCGGAGGCTGCTGGCCGGCAGCTGCGAGCAGGTGGCTGCCAGCGGGTGGCCCGGCCCCCACAGCCTGCCCACTGGCCCCTTCTCTGCCCACAGAGCTCTGATCTGGAGGACAGCTCCCCCAGGAGCTCTCAGGAGGTGAGACTGAGCCGGGGTGCAGCGCTGGCCTCTGCCTGGCCAAGCTGCAGCCTCCCCTGGCCGTCGGCCACACTCGGCAGAGCTGCTGGCCCAGGGGAGCCTCTGCCACTCGGGCCCTGCCCGCTCCTGCCCCTGGGGCAGGGTCTCCACGCCCACGGGCAGCCTATGTCTCTGGGAAGCAGGCGCGGGTGGTAGGGACGGCAGTGCTTCTGGACTGTGGCCTGACTGACTACTGTCTCTCTGCGGAAGCTCTCGCTCCCCCAGGGCCTGGAAGAGGACACCCAACTCCCAGATAAAGGTGAGGAGGCACTGGGGCTGTGGCCTCCTGGTCACCCTGAATCATGACCAGTCATCCATACACACGGCCACTCCCACCTTCAAAAGGGGAGACAGGTTGGGGAACCAGCAGTTAGCATAATGGCTATGTTGCTGGACTCCCACGTAGTCGACCGCGGTTTGAGTCCCGGACCCGGTGGCTTAAAACTCACGCCGGGCACATGTGCGTGCGTGCCCAAGATCCTGAGAGGAGAATGGAGGAGAAGGGACTGCGACGTGACCATTCCCCCTGGGGGGGTGATTTCTCGCTTTCTGTCTCTATGTCTCTCTCTGTCTGGCGAGCGCACGCGCCCTATAGCGATAATTTCTCC